TCATTTTCACTTGACCACATAAATCACTGTGGAGGACTAAGTAAAACATGTACTAAAAAAGAAATCCTACAACAATTGAAAGATAAAGTTATCTGGAAAAAAATTTTTTTTTTTTTTTTTGTTACCAAGGATTAAACAAGGGGTTGCTGCACTCCCAGTCCTTTGCATTTTTTTTTATTTTGAGGCAGGGTTTCACTAAGTTACTGAGACCAGCCTCAAAATTGCAATCCTCCTGCCTAAGCCTCCCAAGTGGCTGGGATTATAGTCAGGCACCACTGTGCTCAGCAGATATCTGAATATTAACAAAAATATTTGAAGTCCTATTAACTGATGACTTTTCCCTAATATTATCTTTTAAAAACTGGGAAAACAAACCAACTTAGCATTTGTAAGTTTTAAGTACACAATACCTATTAATAGTATGTCCCAATTATTATGTTTATCTGGATGAAGAAAGATTAATATTTTTTAAATGTTTTCTAAGATGTTGATGAACCTTTATTTTATTCATTTATTTATATGCAGTGCTGAGACTCAAACCCAGTGCCTCACACATGCTAGGAAAGTGCTCTACAACTAAGCCACAACCCCAGCCCAGATTAATATATTTGAAAAATCTTTTTAATAATAGTTAGGTAACAAAAAATCCGTAAATTGACACTTGATTCCATGCCTAAACAAAGAAGTGCAGACATCCCCCAAACTGAAGTTAAATTCTTGATACTTCTAAAATATTAAATTTAAAAACAAAGAGGAGCTGAGGTTGTAGCTCATTGATATAGCGCTTGCCTAGCACACATAACAGCACTGGGTTCAATCCTCAGTACCATATTAAAAAATAAATAAATAGATAGATAGATATATTGTGTCCATCTACAACTAAAAAAAAAAAAWTTAAAAGCAAACAAACTAGAGCTGGGTATTAAGTTCAGTGTAGATCACTTGCCTATCATGCACAAGGCTCTGAGTTTGATCCCCAGAACCACAAAAAATGAAATAGAATTAAAATAAAAAGCAAAAAAAGTCATTACATTTCAAAAAAAAGAGTGGGACGAAAAGAACTAGCCATAAACAGATACAGAAAACATTTACCAAATAATGATAATTAAAATAACATAAAACCAGCAAATAAACAGATCAATAGGTAAGAATAAAAAAAATTTAAAAAAAAAACTAAATACATGAGAATTAAGCTCATGATTAAGGTAGCATTTTAAATCAGTAAAGATTGATTATTCAACCCACTACACTGAGTCTGTAGGGTAGCATCTTGAAAACATAAATTTGAATCCATATTGATACCCAAATCAGTATTAACTTAAATATTGAAAAAAAAATTAACTTGACAATTTACTTACTTGATTAAAAAAAAAAAACAGTCATGGAGCAGGGGGAATCAAAAGCAGGGGCAAAAGACAAATGACATACTGGGAAAATATATTTGCAGCATATATAGACAAAGAGTTAATTTCCTAATTTTTAAAGAATCTCTAGAATTTAATAAATTTWAAAAACCTACCCAAGAAAAACATGGAGAGCCTATAATTAAATAGTCACATAAAAGTAATATAAACTGTTCATAAGAAAAATACTCAACCTCACTTTATAAAACCAAAAGGATGAATCGGAATTATATTTACAAACCATGTGTCACCAAATTGACAATAATTTTCTAATAGTATAACAACAGTATGCTACCAAATATGTAGGAAAACAGGGCACTTGAACCAACTTCTGGTGGGAATGTAAACTAACAAACCACTACAGAAGGCAATATACACCCAAATTACAAAGGCAAAAAATTTTGGAACATCAATTCCACTTTTGGGAATTTATACATACATATATCTGCACATGCAAAATAATATATGTACAAAGTTATTATTCATAGAACCATTTTATAACAAAACACTAAAACAATCTAAAAGTCAAACAATAGGAAGTTAAATAAATTATGCTAAATACAAACAAAGAAATACTATGCAGCCATAAAAAACAGAGAGGAAATTTTTGTGCAATGATATGTAGAGATTTATAAAACATTTGTTATTTTAAAAAGTTATAGATTCAAGCGGTCAATATGCTATAATTAACAAAAAATGAGGAAATACATACTTATACATATTTATATTTCGTTATATGCACACATAGTAACTGAAGAATACACAAGAAAGAAAAAAAAAGAATACACAAAAAAACAGTAGCAGCTATTAAGAAAGAAAACCATGTAGCTGAGGGATAGGGTTAAAGGAGAAATTTATTTTTAATATATTAATTTTAATTTCAAATCATGTGGTGTCACTTTTTAATAATTAGATACAATTTACATCTAAAATCATTTCTTACAAATCTTGGTGGAGGAACAGCCAAGTTCAAGCTATTCAGTGAAACCTCCAATCCATTCTGGGCACATGCTACAAGACGCAAAGCCACAAAGAATTCCTGAGGAAAAAAAGTATGACCATTATCTACCACACATACTACTTATAATCTGAAAATATAAAAGAATTCATAATTACTCCCGAGTTTTTGTGTAGCAACAAATAACAAATTTGTTTCAAGAACACTTGCTTTAAAATTGAAAAAAGACCCATGTACAAAGATTTTTCTAACACTGTAAGTAACAAATAACAATATAAACAGAAAATATTTAAATAAATTGTGATACATACTGATAATGAAAATTTTACGTAACTAATACTCATATTTCAAAGAATATTTAATGTTGTTAGAAAATGTTTTGAGAAAAAGGAATTTGAGAGTGGGAGCCTAGGAGGAAATCACTAAATGTTATTAATCATCTCTTCAGTGTGAGATTATAAATTTTGAAACATGGATCAGTAATTCAAGTGACTCAATCACTGCTATTCCAAAACAGCTGCAGAAATAAATGAGTAGCACTTAAAACAATTATATAACTGCTTGACTTCAAAATGTTTATAAATCTCCCACAAAGGTTCTTGGATTTTAAGTCTCCGTCCAAAACTAATTAAATAAATAAATGTAAAGAAGCTAAAGCAACTGGTTTTCAGCTATTTTGAGTTAGAGATAAGTCTAGGAATAGACATGATAACAAAAGACTTTACTCCAGCTATAATCTTTACAACTTGTTGACATCCTAATACAGTGGCTTGTTGACATCCTAATACAGTAGTTTATTCAACACTTCCCTAAAACCTCTTGTTCTCACCTGTGTCCTATTACTCTATTCCTAACTTTTTCTTAAAAAGTCAGGCTGTCTGTTTTAGACAATACCTTGCCTTTCAGTCATAAATTTCTTGAAAAAAATGGTACCAAGAAACCCTCTTCTGATTTACTCCAAAAGTTTCCATGTAAAAGACTCCACTCCTTGATTAGCTAGGGAAACTAATGCCTATGTCCTCCTCATTCTCTTTCATTCTGAAGTACTTCTCCACCAAATAGCTTAATGAAACTCTCCTAGTTCTTTCTGRCCTTTCAAGTCTCTTCTGCTGCAGTCTATACCTCCTCTCACTTTTAAATGCTGGCATTCTAAGTACTCTTTATATTCCTTCTTGTCTTATTCTGAGAGATTCAATTACTCTTAGGTAATCTGGTGCACTTCCACTGTATAGATGGACTCTTTAAGTGAAATAATTCTCCATGAAATTCTAGTTCTGTTATCTAAAGTTGCGTGGGCAAGTTAATTAAAATAAAACTTCCACATAAGGGGAGCTAATACTAACTAACTTGCAATGTGTTATGAGCAACAAAATAAAAATTATACTAGAGGAGGAAAGCACCAAGTGTCATTGTCAGAACAGAATCAGGCCAGAATACTCAGGCCTGATTAGCCAAGAGATTCCTTTCAAATATACCAAGCAATACCATCTTAACACTTACTAACAAAATCAATGTTTACTTATACACCCAGAAAATTGAATTAGTAAGATTAAAAGAGCAAAATCTTTCTATAGGACAGAAAACAAATCTCAGTGGAACAATGTCACCAAACTAACATTAACCTTTAGGAATCAGATATTTTAACGTTTAGTGCTTGGTATTATTTTCACTGTTATGACAATTGCTCTTGTAAATTCCCTAATGTTGATAAAAAGCAATTCTTAGCTTAAAAATATAAAAATCTGTTGGCTATTTTTTATTTCAAATTATTTAAATTTTTCATATGAATCTCTGAATCTTACTTGTTTGTTCAGGATGCCTTTGCCATCTGTGTCAGCTAAATCCCAAATCTGAAATTAGGGGGTGGAAAAAGAATCAATCTATATTTTTAACAGAAATCATCTCAAAGATAAGTTAAATCCCTATAATTTACAACCACATATTCTGATAATCAAATCTAAAAATAATGGAATTAAAAGTGGAAAGAACCCTTAAAGATCATTCAGTGCAACCTTTCACAAAAATACTAAGACCCAAAGAGTTAACGTAAGTGACTTGCCTCAAGAACATTCAAGGCATCGGGGAAAGAAGAAACCCAGGTTCCAACTTCCAGTCAAATGCCTTTTTCACTAACCCAGGTTTTAACTCTTGAGTCAAACATGCTCTTTCTACTGYAACATACTGTTCTTGATTTTAGGTTCTTATTAAGGTTATGTTCTTTCTCATGGGCAAATTGAGAAGGTAAATGTTTATTTGCAAATAATTAAATTAAGAAAAGTGGTTATTTTCAGGATTTTAAGTATGTATCAATAAATAGCAAAATAATTTCATAGGACAGGGGCTTTCTGCCTTTTTTGTACTCTTTCCAAAGCCTCCCAAAATCCCCATTCCATTCATCACACATTCAACAGAGACACTTATATAGAGGAAGCAGGGATAGAGCCAGCTCTGAGTGGGTGGCAAGGTTCCACTATTTCCCAACAATAATCAAATGTACTATTATTTCCTCATTTATCCTCTTCAAAAGTAATTTTTTCTTAAATTTTGAACTATGCTTTATTTTTCAAGAAGGTAAATTGCTATGTCATAAATGTCCCTCATCCCATTACTGTAACTGCTTTTCTGAWTTGGTTCTTAAATTTCTTGATGGTTATGTTTCTTAATCTTCAGCCAGTTAATCTAGCGTTGTATATATTCATTATAACCTAGTTATAATATATAAACACTACCTTTCCAAGTATCAAGTCTGGAAGCCCTGACTTTTTCAGAAAAGCAGCAGCATCTGAAGCCAACACCCTTCCAGTATTGCCTGTATCAACCTGAAAAGACACAAACTGTAAGCTTAGAAAGAAAACACAAAGGCAAAATTGTCACCATTTACTGGCCTCCATCCCTGTGATTTGGGACTGGCTTTTTCAAGAAATGAGCAGGAATCCTCTTACTAACAAAGGCTAAGGAATTTGCGGACAGTAATATGAGTAGAGTACCACATACACAGCAGCAGCAATTTGCTAAGTTTGTTTTTGTTTTGTTTTGTTAATCATGCCTACTATCCAATAAGAAACCAAAGCTCAGAGGAAGTAAAAGCAAATTAGTAGAGTTAGAACTTCAACACATGTCTTCTGACTCCAATTTTTTATGATTGTCACTTCAATTCCAATAATCTTAAATGGCAAGAGAAGAAAAAAAGGCAGCATTTCTCATTTCCTGGACAGGTCTTCTAACAAATGAGAATTAGCTGCCTATGTTGTCTGCCTCTTCAAACAGTTTCAGATGATCTGATTGTCACTTCAATTCCAATAATCTTAAATGGCAAGAGRAGAAAAAAAGGCAGCATTTCTCATTTCCTGAACAGGTCTTCTAACAATGAGAATTAGCTGCCAGGTTGTCTGCCTCTTCAAACAGTTTCAGATTATCAACTTCTGCTTTTATATGTACTCTTTAAGAACTGCAGCACTTTAAAAAGGAGGAGGAGGAGGAGGAGAAATTGATTTCACAATAAACTTTAAGAAACATTGTTAAAATTGTTAAGTTTCTATAATTCATTAAGAGAAATGCATCATTTAACTAATGGGGACTTTCCTTTAAGACAGAATGATGTCACAAGAATAGGAAAAATAAAAGAGAGAGAGAAAAAAATTCCAAAAAATGACTCTCATTTTTGCAAAAATTTCCTAAAGTTCCATATGAAAATATATAAAGTAAAATTTAAAAAGTCATGGGAAAGTTAACAGTATACTAGGATGTCTGTGAAATAGCTGTATTGCCAGTTAAAAGATTAAGTTTACTATAAACCCAAAGTATTCAAGACTGTTCAGTATAAACAAAGAGGCAAAAAAAAAAAAAAGAAAACCTTTCTTTCAAGTGCTAGAACATAGGATAAATCAGAAACTAAGAAAAAAAGAAAGAGTTGCCTAATCCTTCAAATTTGGAATAAGAATTACAGAAAGGATTAGGAAATCTGCCTCCAGAATCCTCCATAACTACTGTTCTTTGCTCTCTCCCTGACCAGAATTGAAAAGGAATACTCATATCCAATATAACCTAAACAGAGGCACTCAGAGGAAACAGCAGTCAATTCATGAAATATTTGTGTACTGTATCCCAATAAAGAATTTTACTATCTGTCATTCTTTTGGTTGCCATAATAAATTAAACACAGTCACTGAGTCTGTGTCATCTATAGGCAGTTTCTATAGTATTCTGATGCTCTGTTATAAACTATATAGGCTAGAATCTGTATCTTCAACAGACAGTTCTCAAAGATCTCATGGAAGGGTCTCTGAAATACTAATACTCCAAAAAATAGAGTTTTGGGTAAAGACTTCTGAGTTGAYACCACTTAAGCAATTTTTCAGGCTATACTGGTAGATGAAATAAGGATTTCCAGGATTCTTTTCAGTCTGGAAACAGATGTACTTCATGAAAGCTGACTCCTGACCCAAGATGCAGTCAAGAAAGAATTATACAGAACTGGTTAAATTAGTGAAGAAAATTTAATTATGATTATTTACTTGAAATAATTTTTTTTTTCATTTTGCTTTGATTTTTATGGTGCTAGGGATTGAACCCATGGCCTTGCATGCACTGAGCATATGCTCTACCACTGAGTTACTACACTCTGAGTCCTCTTATTTATTGATTTTATTTTAAGAGATGAGGTATCACCATATTGCCTAAGCTGACCCCAAACTCCTAGGCTTAAGTGATCCTCCTGCTTTAGCTTCCTGAGTATCGAGGAATATAGGAGAGAGTCACCTCATCTGGTGGTATTAKTTCTAATTTTCTATTTTTCTTTTTCTTCCTACATTATCTCAATCCTCAATTTGATATGAATGGAACAGTTTTCAATGGTATCTGATTCTCATTGGCCTATCAGAATCAAAAAACAAATACTTCTACTTAACATCTTTACTTTTTATGGCAATGTAATTATTAAAGATCTAATTACAATTTGTTCTACTTTTGTTCTACTTTTGTAAGGAGACAATCAGATAACTCGTGTGTAAAACAAGGTCATATTTAAGAATGATTTCCTTTTATTATTTTTATTATATTAATATTATTTTGGATATTCACATAGAAAAAGCTACTATTGAAGAACATTGACTTTATGTTGAGTCAATACTTACAAATCCCTCTCAAGAAAACTGACTTGCTATCTGGCAAGTCCCAGCCTCACAGATAGTAAAGCAAGGTCACTTACCAGCAAGCCAGGAACCCTGGATGTCTAAGAAACCTTCAGATGTGATAAATTCATTCTAATTTACATGTAATGCTGGTGAAATATGGAAGAGAGAACTTTAAAGATTTAGATCATAGCCTCAAGACAAAGGAAAAAACCTGGGCACGGTGGCACATGCYCGTAATCCCTGCAGCTTGGGAGGCTGAGGCGGGAGGATCCCATGTTCAAAGCCAGCCTTAGCAAAAGCGAGGCACTAAGCAACTCAGTGAGACCCTGTCTCTAAATAAAATACAAAATAGGGCTGGGGATATGACTTAGTGGTCAAATGCCCCTGAGTTCAATCCCCAGTACACACCTGCCCCCCCCACAAAAAAAGATAGAACAACAATTAATAGAGGCTTTAAAATGTACAATCAAGCTGGGGATTGTGGCATACACCAGCTACTAAGGAGATTGAAGCAAGAAGCTCTCTTGAGCCCAGGAATTTGAGACCAGTTTGGTAAAGACAGACCTCAGCTCTTAAAAAATAAACAAATAATTGGTCTGGGGCTGCAGCTCAGTGGTAGAGCACCTGCCTTGCACATGTGAGGCACTGGGTTCAATCCTCAGCACCACATAAAAATAAATAAATAAAGACTTGTGTCTCTCTACAACTAGAAAAAAATAATTAAAAATTAAAATAAACAAATAATTAAAGAATAAAAATATAATCAGATTCTAAAATTTTTCAAGCAGAAATTAATTCTCTGGCCTTTTAAACTGCTAAGTAGTCTATGGTTCTAGGTCTACTAGTCAAAACCAAAGAGGCCTAAAATGGTTAATTAATATTTGCCACAACTCTGTGGATGGTCAGGCCAGATATGAGACCAGTCTTTTCTATAATCATCATCACAAGGTAAGGAGGCTTTTAGAAAAAAATGATCTAATACTTGGAAATGGGCAAGTGAGAGTGTGTATACCCTTGAGAGACTATCTGATATATACTATATACCCTTGAGTAACTTTCTATTGGAAAGACTATTGTACACACTGTAGGGATAGAGGTTAAACTATGGAAAACTGAGGCCTGGTACAGTAGCTCAATGCCTGTAATCCCAGTGACTTGGGAAGCTAAGACAGGGGGATCACAAGTTCAAGTCCAGCCTCAAGGCCAGCCTTAGTGAGATCCTATCTCAAAAATAAAACAACAAAAGAGACAGGAGATATAACTCAGATGTAGAGAGCCCCTGGTTTTAATCCAAAATAAATAAATCAAAAATTAGGGGCTGGTGATGTGGCTCAAGCGGTAGCGTGCTAGCCTGACATGCATGGGGCGCTGGGTTTAATCCTCAGCACCACATAAAAAATAAAGATGTTATGTCCACCAAAAACTAAAAAAATAAATATTAAAAATTCTCTCTCTCTCTCTTAAAATAAATCAAAAATTATAGAAAACTGTTAGCAATACAAATCATTCCTGTCTATACCAATGCAAGTAAATTTTGTCTGGCAGAGTATGAATCTCTGTAACTCATATTCTCATTTTTATACTCAACTGGTTCCTTCAATAACTAATAAATTGAATAAAATCCTTGATTTCCTCCAACCCACCCTTTGTTTTTTTTGTTCTTTTTTTTTTTGTGGTGCTGGGGATGGAAACTAGGATCTTGTGCATGCTCAACAACTGCTCTATCACTAAGATATTCTCTCAATCCCCATGCTCATTTTAGATTTATATGAAACCCAGGGTTTTCAGCTTGTGAAAATTATGCTTTAGTAAGTTTTAAAAACAGCATAAAACTGGGTCTGGGGTTGTAGTTCAGTGGTAGAGTACCTGCTTAGCATGTGTGAAGCACTGGGTTCGATTCTCAGCACCACATATAAATAAATAAAACAAAGGTCCATCAACAACTAAAAAAATTTTCTACAAAAACAGTATAAAAGCCATTTCAATTTGGATTATAAGTTAATTTTAATACTTATATCTGAATAAATATATCTAATGTTGTATAGATTTCACATAGATATTTAAGGCAATTAAATTACTTTAATTATTTTGTCTTCTTTTTTCTAGAAGCACTAAGTATTCAAAGCTAGAGGCTATAAAGCACAAAAAGTTAAAAACAAGACATGTCAAATTTATTCAGCTAGCTGATAATCTACATGCATACAATTGACAGTTGATAGTATACTTTATGTTCCACCTAGGAAAAACAGAAAAAAAAAATCTTACCTGTCTATAGTATTTTTCATATACAGGATTCCCACTTGATAACTAAAATAAATAAGTAAATAATAATTATATTCAATAACTTCTATTAACATGTTTGGCATACAAATATATTGAGAAACAAAGCTGAATAAAATAAAAAAGATCCTTAACTTCAATTAAGATTGGTTTCATTTCTTTTTTGCCAAGTTGAAAAGGAGAATAAAAAAAGACAGTCCCACGTTTTACTAAGAATTAAGTAGACAAGAAATAAAACAAGAATCCTAAAATTGTTCTTAACACAAAGCTGGGTACAGTAGCATACACCAGTAATCCCAGCAACTCAAGAGGCTGAAGTAGGAGACCTTGTCTCAAAAATAAGAAGGGCTGGAAGGCTAGGGCTGTGGCTCAGTGGTAGAGCACTTGCTTACCATTTGTGAGGCACTAGGTTCGATAGTAAGCACCAAATAAAAATAGGTAAATTAAAAGAAGGTATCATGTCCATCTACAACTAAAAATTTTCTAAAAAGAATACTACTAGCAGTTAAAAAAGAGGGAGGGCAGGGGGAGCTGGAGATGTAGCTCAGTGGTAGAATACCACTAGATTCAATCCCAGTAACAAAAAGAAAACAATTGTTTATATTGGAACTTTTTCTCATGCAAAATTATACCCAGAAACCCAACATCTGACAAATTAGAGATGAAATATTTTAGCTGAAGCCAGTTGGAAGGCCCCAACATTCTACACACTGATTCTCTACCTAAGTGCCCTAGGTACCTTTGAATTCGGTTCAAAAACCACTTCAATAAAATATTCAAATAAGGGGTTGGGAATGTAGCTCATTGGTAGAGCACTAGCCTAGCTCACATAATGTCATAGGTTCAACCTCCAGTCCTGCAAAAAATAAATATAAATGAATACATAAATTGAAGTACAAAAAGATGATACTGAGCTGGGCGTGGTGGTGCAGGCCTGTAATCCCAGCAGCTGGGGAGAATGAGACAGGAGGAAGGTAAGTTCAAAGCCAACCTCAGCAATGGCAAGGTGCTAAGCAACTCAGTGAGACTCCATCTCTAAATAAAATACAAAATACGTCTGGGATGTGGCTCAGTGAATGAGTGCCCCTGAGTTCAATCCCTTGCACCACCACCCCTCAAAAAAGATGATATTGACATAATCAGATGTGAAATGCCTAAACTTAGGCAGGGCCATTCAATTCACACCATAGTTCAAAGGTGTAGCATTCCCTAGGGTCGCTCCAGGGGAACTGGGTATTGCGCAATAACCACACAAGAGACAGAGATACCTTTTTCTTTGGGGGTCCTGAGACAGCTCCTCTGACCTTAAGAGTTCGAAGAAAGAGAGAGTGTGAGGGCCTGCTGACCCCTTTTATAGAGGAGAAGCCATTCAAATAAGGCAAGGGGTTAGGATTCAAGGGGTTGAGTCTAGCTAGCTTCACGATGTCTGCTGTCAGCAGGTTGACTGACATCTAGGAAGGCCACACCCAAAGGCAGAGCAAGAGAAGGGGTCACACAAAGGGCATTTCCATGGAACATTCTTTCCCAAACAGAGCAAAGGGGTAATATCACAAAGGAACAGGTGAGCATAGCTCAATGCAAGGGGCTGCAGGAAGTCACGCCTACGCACGAAGACACATTCTGCTACTTCCAGGATTGGGACAACCATCTGGGGCCACTTTGAATGTGGCCAGATCACTGGAAGTGACCAACACAGCCTCAACTGATAAGGGAAGGAAAATGCTAGTCACTCAGCGTGAAGGCCCTCCACACAAAGGGTTCTTTGGTCAGCAGATAATCACATTTAATATCTCATCTGAATGACAACAAAGGAATATATATCAGTGTTTAAAGGCTCAGGTTTACCTGTATATCAATATGTAAGAATGTTCAAGACTCAGAAGTAAGTCCAGGGAAGCTTCATAGAAACTTAAAGTATGGAACTTTATGGGTGAAAATAAAGTGATTCTACACAGAGATTAYAGTATATATAAAGGCATCAATTAACAGAAAGCTCAGCTATATCTATAAAGAACAGCAAGTAGTTCTGAAAGAAGATATGAGTGTGATTTTTTAAAAAAAATATTTATTTTTTAGTTATAGGTGAACACAATATCTTTATTTTATATTTACGTGATGCTGAGGACCAAACCGAGTGCCTCACACATACTAGGCCAGTGCTCTACCTCTGAGCGTCAATCCCAGCCCCAGGAGTGTGATTTTTAAAATATATATATATAT